ACGTGGGGTAATATGCGGTGCAAGATTGATAGCTCGCGAAGCTTCTTGAAGCGGGAATAAAAATACGAGGCAAGGGGGGGGGGGTGCGGATTGAATCGGCCACTTGACGGGGTCGCAGGGAAAGGAAGGATAAAAAGAGAACAAGAACACGGGACGCACCTCCGTCGAATTGAATAATTTAAACGGGGAGCGACCATTAAGCCACCCACGTGGCCATTTTGCGCCGACAATGGTTCCGGGGGTGACAATTCGGTAAACCGGCAAAGTGGCGCTAATGCCCCCCCCCCCCACCCTCGCGTACGTATATCGATTGAACGTACTCGATTGATTCCGCGACCCGACAACGGAACTGACGGAAGTATGTAAATGTCCCCGAAATGAGCGGTCGGTTTAATTGCCCTGGTACGCGGGGCAGGAAATAACCACGATGGGAGTAATAACGATCGCTCATTACTCCCGGGTCGGGCATTATGCGCGATTATTGTTAAAACCTTGCCAGAGCGGACGACCATACGCGGGCGGAAAGTATTGTCGAGGAATAATAATAATCCCCGCGTAATGGCCGACCGAGTAATAATCCCCGTGGAGTTCCACCGAACCGCGAACGGAAAATTAGTCGTTGTTCGACGACCGGGCGAAAAGTCACGACAAAGGATCGATCTGAATTATTTATTTTGCGACCGCGCACGTGCACTTGGCGCGAGACTCTGCCGCGCTTTTGCGACGCTGCCTCGTCAGGGGCGCGGAAAAACTGTCCCGCGGGATACCGCACGGGGAAAAACGGGATTCCGGCACGCTCGAGCGATTCCTGGGAGGCGAGGCTCGCGGGACTTAGTCCGCAAACGCAATTTCGCAATTCCGCAATTCCGCGAGTCCGGTCACTACGGGAATACAAACTCGGCTCCTTGTTGGTAGGGAGTTGGCCGGCGGAACTAGCTTTGCCGGCGACACGTACGAGCGTGGACGAGCTTCCGCGAGAATTGGTCGGCCCGACAAGCCGACCACCGAGGGGACCAGTGCGCAAATTAGCCGCCACTTCCGGCAATGGAGTGCATCCACGGGATGCACCCTCGCGATCTTTGCAAGGATCGCGGAGTCGCGCCTTACGGGTGATACGCAAGTGGCGTCAAAGAGGTCTCGCTTGTGGGATTTTTCTCCGATCTATGCCGGGGATTTGGATCGACCTAATCAGACGTCGGTCGGCTGCAACAACGGGTTGGGCCGGAAGATGCGCCGATGCACCAATTAGCACCCGAGTTCGAAGAGGCGCGTCTCATTGTCTGCCAATGGCGCGTGGAGGCGGCTCGAATCGAATTAAAGCGGGGTTAAGGCGGGATTGAAAGGCAGCGGGGCGAACCGCGGAACTCGCAAGGATGTCGCGAACCAATTAACCCAAAATTGGGGTCGCGTCCTGGCTTAGGCGCGGATAACGAGGAGAGATAAAAAGCCTTCCAGGTCGGAACGGGTATGGCGGCCCTCTTCGGGGAATAGGACTCGCTCCGGAGCGATCGAGATTCACGACTTCCCACGGGAGCATCCTCGGGAGGAATATTCCAGGGAGCTGTTCTTCGACAACGGCGCAGTCTCGAGATTATTGCCAGCGTCTAGGGCAATCCGAACACCCCGGGACCGTTCGATGCCAATGGCCGGTGGTAATGAGATTCCGCTTCGCGCCGAAGGGGTCCCGATACCATCGGACGCGACATACCGGCTGCACCAGACACTTGCAGCATGCTCGATAGTCGGTCGAGGAAGAGAAGAAAGGGGGGAAAAAAGAGAAGAGCTGAAAAAAAGAGCCCTGGAAAGGCTCCTTATTTTGACTTAGGGCCCGGCGTTCCGGTCGGCGCCGACCCGGGAAACGGGGGAAACGGGAATGGAAACGAGGGAATAAAAATTGTTGAACATTTACGGGGGGGATTTAATGAGCCTGTATAAATATAACGAGGAGTACCGGGCGCGATAAGTGCGGTTTACGATTACCCCGCTCCAAAGATTCCTGCATAAAACTGACCAGACCAGCCATTTGCACGGATGATGTTTCCGTGTACAGCTTCTATTGCTCGAGGGTGTATTAACCGAGGATGCGCACCCCCGATCTGGTTTAAACCGTTAACCGTGCACTATTTGTGAATTATCAAAGTGTTTCTTTGGTTCGAGGACATTTTTCTTTTTTTCTCAGTGTGAGAATTACTCTCAGTTAGGGTGTAACTCTCGACGATAATGGCACTCCGTATTTTGCCGGAGGGTGTCGACTCATCGAGAAAAAAAAAAAAAAATACCGAGATACCGGAAGTTTCGGGGGATAAATAATTCCCGCCGAGTGATTCCGAATTTCGCGAATACGTTTAATCCCGCCATTCGGGGGACCGCGAAGTTACAACGGAATTTACGTAAAACTCATCTGCTCCATTACCGAAGGCGTTTCGAGTACGGCATAAATTTATACTTGTAACTGGATTAGGGGTAGAAGCTTCGTGAATTATGCATTAAATACTCGCTCCCGGGGTAATTTGCATTGTCATGAGGGACGAGGGGGGAAAAAACAAGGAGGCGGAACTTTATGCCCGCGAAGGAAATTGTTAACAACAGATGCCTCCCGGTGTCGAGCGAACATTGTTAACCAGACCTTGGGACGCCTTCGATCGAGGTCCGCTTTCCGAAGTTTTCACGAATTTAAAAAAAAAAAAAATTATAATCGCCACGTCTGCATTTCGCGTAAAAATCTGCGCCGAAAAATCCACTCTGACGTCTTTCCGAGAGCCGAGTGTCATCGAAGACACTTTGGGTGTACTGGTAAGAAAATATTGATCCAGTGAGTAAGTCAATACCCATTACGGAGTCTTTCGAGTACATTCACCGAGAAAATATTAACTCAGTGGGGAATTATCCCCCAAATCGTTACCATTAAAAAATCTCTATACCTAATTCTCCATTTCGAATTTTGGCCACCATAAACGATCGATCCCTCAGATGCCACTTTTACATCCCCTTAAGCGACATTGGATGTAATCGTAACGCAATGGGCGAAGAATTACTTCCCAGGCCGAGTCTTCGGGCGGACGTAACGACGTTTCTATACGCGTACCTGGGTTTGGGGGTGTATGTACTTGTTACAGGGCCATTAATCATGGCTCAGTGGAAGGGCCGGCCCCGCGCGCCTATTCCCAGGTAATGATAATACCGGTAATCATCCACGGATCATCGGACTCATGGCTATTCACGAGTGGGTTACGCGCTCTGGAGAGGAGACCTCGATTCGATCACCGGGAATATCGATAGTCGACCCGCGCTCGATACCGGCCGATACAAACGAGGCTCGATAGTTCATGGTCCACAGGTGATGGGCGACAGTCGATGGTCGGTCAAAACCAGGGCTGAGCTGATTTAAATCAGTTGATTGAATTCACAATTAAAATCGCCGATTTCAATCAACTGATTTTTATTTTTTAAATCACCATTTTTTAAACAGTCCGAGTACTGCACAGCGCGATCGCCTGGTTCGCGCTGTCATATCGGAAAGCTAAAAATTAAACGTAGATATTAACAAAAAAAAAAAAGTCGTGATTTAAAAAATCAGCGGTTAAAAGTCGCCTCACGTATTCGTTTTTTTTTAATTTTTTAAGAATAATTTCTTCCGCCCAAAGTTCGTCTTACGAGGTGCTTAACGTTTTCCCGGAGTCGGTTAAAAGTACTCGGAACTTCGGAAAGATCCTCGCGCCGCCCTAAAAAGGATAATGGTAAATGTTTATCCGCTAGTGAACCGCGAAAGAAAATAAACGGCGCAAAAGTTTGCGGCGGAAAGGGTGGATAAGTAGGGAAAAAAAGAAGAAAAAAAAAAAGAAACGGTGGAACGAAGTGAAACGGAGAACAATACGGAACTTGCGGAAACGAGGAAAAGCTTCTTCTCGATAGGAGGCTCGGCCGAGCGAAAGCATAAATAAATAGAAAGTTAATGCAGGGAGCCTCGAGAAGAGACATTCTCCTGCGATCCGGAATCCCGAAGCATCTTCCGAACTTTTGTCTCGAATAAAAAAAAAATATATATACAGGTATACGTACATATAATTTCCCGCTGCATAAATAATAGGGTCGGCGTGATCGATATTCGGCTAATTACCTTTGACTGCATTTCCGGGTAAATACGCAAATACGGGGCCGATAAAAGGGGAGTAATTTGAACGAGGTATCCCCTTTAACTCGCCGGGTGCAATTTAGAATGCGGCCCACAGACCCGCTCCCATTTGTTTATCTCTTTCGAGTAGCTGGATATTGGACTTGCATTAAACCGATACACGCGCTTTTTGCGAACCGCTGGATAATAAATGCGTTTTAATGCACCCTCGAAAACCCGCCAAACAGCGGCCCGAGCAAATTTCAACCCTTTTTTCCCCGTATCGTGTTTTGATTCAGCGAGCCATTTCGAATTTCGGGAATTTTCGTTGCCGGATAAGTAGAGCCCGAAAATTATTTCCGGGCTTTTATGGGGGATTGCCTCTACTTACAGCGCTCCCCGTGGGACGTGCCGAGCCTTCGCAGGGCCTCGAAATTCGATCCACGATTCGAATTTGTCCCGTCGTAACTAACAAATACATCTGGTCAAAGCATCCGGTCCTTCGAGGCAATCGTTCGGATGCAAAGAGCGTCCCCAGAAATTCCCGGCGCGTGTTCGTAGTTGAACACGCCTGGGGCAGAAACTTACATTTGTACCCGAGGGTAGCCAGAACTCCGGTGTCCTTTTTCGTGGAGCCTAGGGTAATCGAGAATCCTCGTATTCCAGGGCCGGAAGAGGAAGACGGAATCGACGCTTCCGAAAATCCCGGCTTTAAAAGCTCCCTATGGCGGTACAAGCCCGCGATGAAGTCCCCCTATTTTTCCAGGAGAAACTCCCCGCGAGGGGAAAAAAAACGCGCGTCTTAACCTAAGCCAAAAACCACGGTACAACAGAAAATAACGCATTACTTAAGAAATAATTACCGCAAATAGTACTTTCTAGTTATTACCTTGGGATGCTCACGGACCGGCACCAACACCTTCACGGCGACGCGAATTGGCTTCTCTCGATAAATGTCCACGTATTTCATGTCCCGTATCGGTTTTCCAATGGCTTGGGTCTTCTGAATCTCTGTAATAAAAATATATATCTCGTTACTCCCCGAGTAGGTACAGGCTATACGGGAGGGAATGCGACGACGAAGGGCGGATAGAGAAGGCGAAATCCGGCGATAATTAAAGCAACCGCCGGATTGCGATAATTCTCGTCCGAAAGTAACATCCAGGCTCGAATTTCCCGAAACGACCTTCCTCCGTTTTCGCCCAGTCCTCGTAAAAAAAAAAAAAAAAAAAAAAGAGCGCTCGCGAAATCCCCATCCCGAGAATCCCTCGCGCGTTATAATTCAATGCCATTTAAGTCCTCGAAATATATGCTCCAGTAATTCTTGAGCTCGCCGTTTCACCTGGAAACCACCCCCTCTGTCGGGGAAAAGCCTTCGGGAGAAAATCGATGCACCCTGAATTCCATGGGCCCTTTCCTTTCCGACAACACTGCCGGTTGAGATTTCTTAGCGAAAGCGGTTTTCGATGACCGATGCTCGATCCGAGCCAATGGCTTCTCCCGAGATTACGAGATAAAAAAAAAATAGATATATACCCAATAAAAAATATATATATATATCCATGACGACCCGGGTCGTTCAATGTCTGGAATGGCGGTGGGACACAAAGGGGCTTTTTTCGAGCCGTGGTCGTACAGAGGCGACATCCATGACCGTGATGGGACCTCTTGAAAGGCACACACGTTTCGAGCCCGAAGCAAGAATTCCTAGCACCCCGAAGATCGCACCTCTTCATTGTGTTCCGCTATCAAGACCCGAGCCACCCCTTTGTGTACGTCTTGGATGTATAGGGAGACCTTTCAGCCGTACATCGGGGCGCGAATCTGGCCCGCCATCTTGGAATCCCCATCGGGCAAAAAACGGGAAATAACCGCGCCGTTACACCGTAAATAATTAGGGGAATAATGCGCCCGTAATTAAAAAGAAAAAAAAAAGCTGACGCAAAAGGGGCTGCACCCCCCACTTGGGCCCATTGTGGGAGGATTTACGGGAAACGCCGCGGAATTATCCGGCCAAAGAGTTAGTGCGCCCCGAGTGAAAACCCCCCGAGGGGATCCCCTAAGCTTTCGATATTTCTTAATTTGGAAAGGGCTTATCCGGGATGCGGGAGATGGTACTTGGACAAAATCCGTGGACACGCTCGTTATCCTATTCCCCGTCTTCGTCCATTCGCCGTTTTGCCCCTCCCTCGCGCGATATCGGCCGATGCGAATAATCAAATCGGCTTCAAATCATCGGGTCGTTTTCCCCAAACTTTGACATTTTCTTACAAAGTCACGAAAAACTGGGTCGGCCCGTAAATCGGGCGCGAAGTCGTTACCGACAAAGGGAATATCCGAGAACTCCATGGAGTCTTGAATCGGTAAAAATGGCCGACAAATGGCCCCGGAAATTCGTACCCTCGACGAAGGTTTACGGGCCCCAAACGGAAGAAAAAAAAAAAAAAAAGGAATTTCCACGAGAATAATGTTTCTAGAGTTCGCGTCCTTTAAGCAAGTAAAATTTCTCGTCATGACCGTGAGTTCTTTTGGTGCGGGCAATTAGGAGAATTATTTTCCACCGGTTTCGGGTGAAGCCGACCCGGTCGATGTATCGATCTCTGGGACGAAATTCGAGGGCTGGCGACCCTCCACCCCCACGCCCGAGGACGGCTCCCCCCGGAGTTTTTCCTTGGCGTGGAAAACCATTGTTTATAATACAGGAACGGCTTATCCCCCCAGGAGTGGACACGCCAGATCGTCCTGCACTAAATTCTCATAGCGGAGTCAATCCGAGCCATACGTACTGCTGTACATTTCCTAGCGGAAGGCATTACTTCGCAGATTATCGGTAAATACGTTCGAGCTCCGGAATTTCAGCTGCAGCGCTGCACCCAGCGCGAGTAATAAAAGGAACGAGCTTCGAGCAAAACGGAGGAAAAAAGGGAGAAGGGGGGAAAAAAAATAGCAGTACCCGACGTTTCTGTGTCAGAGGTATCCTCCTAGCGAGCCGATTTATCTCCATAAGAGAGGTCAGCGGGGCAATAAAAGAAAGGGAGAAAAAAAAAGAAAGAACATCGAGTCTCGCGAATCGGCAAAGGAAAATCGCCCACTCGTATGTAGAGTTGAGCTGCCCGGAGAAAAAAAAAAATGTTCACGTTTTCATTTGAGATTATTGATTCTTCGAAAGAAATCGTTTGACTCTATCGATCCCGCTTGTACGCGCGCGTACAATCGAGGGTCATTTCGAAAGGACCAGGTTTCGAGGGTTAAACCGAGAGAAGGAGGAAATGAGTGAAATTTACGCACGCCTGTCGATCCAGTAATCGATTTCCCGATAATTGACGACTTGCCGTGCAGTATTTTGTTACAGCTGGCAAATTCGAGTGGTTGCAGCTACCGTGTCCGGTGGGAAAAATAAAAGGCGGTTAAATCGAAAAAAAAAGGACATTTCCCTGTCAAACGCTCGTCCTGGCCGATTTATCTCCACGAGGGGCTCGGTAAAGTTTGAAAATTGTCGTGAAAAAAAAAAAAGGAAATTGTGACAGAGTCCCCGGGAGCGTCCTTCGGGAGCGACGTATCAAAAAGACTGCTGAGACCCGGGATACAATTTCGGGGCCCCAGAAGCGACGATTAATAAAATCGATCTGCCCTAGGTTTGGTCATCAACGAGCCGCGCCGTTACAGTTGACAAATCGGTCGGCGCACTATGCGACACGCCTCTCAAAAGGCACGCTACCCTTCGAAACATCCAATTACGCCCGTCAACCAGGGACGAGTGTCATCAGTCATCGGCTCGCCAGTGACCGAGTTGACGGGCGACTAGTCGCGCCGTTATTTATAATTGTTCTTGCGAATGAAATCATCGCGGTGCGTCGAGGGCCAACGAGGGCTGCGCTCTTTCCATCGATTACATCGTCGGTTAAAAGAGAGAAAAATAAAAAAAAAAATAGGGATCTCTCCCTGAAAAAGTTCGAACGGGAACAACAGGTGGGACCGGTGCCTGCCTATTCATATAAACACCGGTCGATCCTCTCAATCGACTCGATCGGTTCGGAAATACGGCCGCAATCGTTCTCCCCGTGGTACATTGCAAATCGAGGGCGCAGTGAGCGCGCTTAATCAGTAATGTTATTCTTTGCTAAAAGTGCAAGTGTCTTTTTTTTCCCCCCGTGTGGGATTTCAGAAATCTCGAGGATCCCGAAAATCCGGATAATCTCAGAGGGCCATTTAGCAGGTGACCCGACAACCGGACACCGAGTGACGTCTCCTAGATACCTAGAGCCCATTTGTCCGGGACTCGGGAACGTCTCTCTCGAGAGATCATTGACCGAGGCGGCTTCGTTATCACCCCGGGTGTTATCACCCGCAAAACAGAGCGGCGCGAACGAGGAAGGACAAAGGGAGGAGGATTTCGAAGACCGGCCGCGTAAGCGGGTGCACCGACGTGCACTTTATGGCTCGAGGAGAGAAAAGAGACTCGGTCTCTCGTAAAAATTCCTGAGGCACCTCGCGATAAACGCCGACTGCCAGAAAGAGACGGGAATGAGCCCGCGAGGGAGACGGACGAGCGGCGATAGGAGGAGAGCGATGGCGAAGGGAGAAAATTTTGAATCTTTCATGAGACGCTCGAAATAAGTACATTTATTTACGCCTCGAGGTACGAGCTTACTCGAAGATCACAGGTGTAATTATCGTAAGTTCACCGGACACGTGAATTTCCGTGGCGCGTTCTGATGGATGACAGAGATTCATCTTCTTCCCCAAGATGGTCATTCTGGGAGACGTGCGTGATGAAAATAATAGAAAATAAATAAATCAGTAATCTCGACGACCGACGCTCGTGCAAGTGCATACGTAATAATGAGCCGGTAAACGTAGCAGAGCGTGACGCGGTGGCACGATCCAATACGGTTGCGGGGACTTGCAAAGATCAAAGCTGCCGACAGGAGTGTCGCTTTCGGTTCCTGCTGCTATTGGCTAGGAAACTCTACTCCAGACGTTTACTTAGCTCTGCCCTGGACCAATCGTGGCGTCGCTTTGCCGCCCTGTACCAGAATCCCTCCCAGAGAAGGCAACACCGAGCGGACCGAGGGAATTTGCACGATCGCCGTTAATCGATGCACAATTAGTCAAATATACCGAAGAAATGTGAAATCCCGTCGTCCCGTTTCCACCCTACGTCGGGTCGCCTCGAACACAAAGCTCACCGAGGGGATGCTTCCCCTCGAGATTGATATCCTGCACAGCATCCCATTGTAGCCTCGGGAATAACCTCGCGAGACCCCGGAGCACCTCTTTTCCCATATATACCCATCCCCAAAATTCGTAATAAAAATTTCCTCGCACTTTCTATCGGAAGTCTCGAGCCTCCTTGAGGATGATCCGGCAGTTCGCAGTCCAAGGATACGAGGAATTTGTCAATATTCGCGAAAGTATCCTAGAAGTAGGCGCCCCGGCTTTGATCGGACGCAACGGCGTTTCCGATCGTGAGAAAAGAAGTCGGGGACGGGGGGGCGCAATCAAGGAGGGCGTGGATGTGTGTTGGAATTTATCAATATTCTCAAAACGCGCCTCTCGGGACCATAACCCGGGGACCGTAGCGGCGGCTCGCCGAGGAATTTCAATTCCCATAAAGCGGCATCAGCTTTTATGGGGAATAAAACAATATTTCATCTCGCTCTCTCTCTCTCTCGTCCCCCCCGCGGTTTTTCTCCTCCTCTTTCTCCTGGGCCGCTCTATAGGAAATCGCTTATACGAGATGGCGACGTGACCCGGGAACGGCGCGCCGATGGAAAGTCAGACGCATTCAGGGGATTCAGGGGATTCCTACCCCTGGGAGAGGACCCGACCTGGTCCTGGAGCCGCCCTGGACTGGGACTCGCTCGGTCGGATTAGAAAATCCTGAAAAGCCCGGCCGATGTCGAATGAGAAAGCTTCCAGGAGAAAGAAGCGATTCCCCGAGGGAGAGGGGTGTCACCTCCCCGGGGGGGGGGGGGGAAGCGCCCCCGAAGTGTCGCGGTTTTTCTTCA